AATCTAAAGAACAATTTTTATTCCAAATTTCCATACCTGTGGCATTAGCTGTTGTTTTAAGAAATCTGATGGTATCCTCTTCTTTCATGAGTTTCATAACTGGACTATCAGACATTTCAACTGGATGAGGTTTGAAAACAAGTTCAACCTCACCAAATGTTTCAGCTCCTTCTCCTTCTGTTGCGGTGTCATGGCCACCTGACGCCTCCATACTTGAACTTGCAGAGTCATTTTCAGAGGTAATCGCTATCTTTGGGCGCTTAATAGGCTTCATGTGTCCTGAGGATGATGACTGGGAACCCCCTGGAGTTGGAGAAGGAGGATGAGGGCTTGGTGCCTGAACAGAACTCTGAGGTAGCAATGGGGTCTGCGGCTGTGGCTGTGGTTGTGACTGGCCTTGGGATTGGGACTGGGAATGGGCATGGGAATGTGACTGCGCCTGAGATTGGGACTGGGACTGGGGTTGTAATTGAATCTGCGAATGAGACTGTGCCTGCGACTGAGGAGTTTGAAATGGTGGTTGGGAATCGGACCCACTTTGAGCTGGCGTTGGAGTCGTAGGAGCACTTGGATTAGGAGTATTGACCGTTGCATCATTTTCACTAAGCAGCTTCTTGTTACTCCTCTGCTGACGGTGTTGAGACTGAAGTTTAATTCCTTCAGTGATGGAGTTAAGAAACGCTGCTTGACTGGAACTCTTCTGCAACTTTTCCAACACTCTTTCTTGATGAGCTTCGTATTCATCCCGACACGGATACAGTTTGGATATTAAAAGATCGAAGTTGGGATCAGGTCTCAAAGATCTCTTTGACACTAACTTTTTTCGACAAGTAGGACATTCCTTGTTTCCTGACCGGAGAGCAGTCACAATACAGTCTGAACAGAACCTGTGTAAACATTCCTTGGTTGTCATTGTCTTCTTTAACATGTCCAAACATATAGGACACATCAGTTCGCTGTGCAGGCTTCTGGGGGACACAGCGATCTCCGTATTGTCCGTAATTGCCTCTTGAGGAGTTCTGTGTAGCTCGTAAAGTGACAATTCCCATGTTTTGTTTAATCCAAGTTGTTCTGCCGACGCCATTTTGAGGTTGAGGAACCAAACTAACGGTACTCAGGGATAGCACCCTGTCATAAGGGAAACATCAAGACTGAACTGATGTAGAATGCTTTTCAGGACACACTTAGAAGTGAAACTACCCCACAGGATTCTCAAAAAATGAATTCTTCACCAATACATTTTCACTTTTTAACGTCAAACATCAACACCCTGCTGTCCGCTGCCAGCCACAAACAAAAAGTACGTTCGTGGGTACGCCAGAAGGAAGCGATACAGTGGGAAGGGGTGACCATTTTCTGCTTTTCCCGGCCTGTTTCCGGTCACATAGCTGCTACACATCCCACGTTTCCGTTAACACTCCTTGAAAGGTTCTTGCAGTCGCCATTTTTGCGTCAGACCTAAAGCATCATTACATTTATTAACCGATCTGTGTCTACTTGAGAGCATTACTATTGTTTTCGTTACTATATTTGTGTACTGTTAACTCCCTTCAGTAATTTAACTCATTTTCCGATATGGGAGAAGACAGCAAAGGTGAGTTTACGTACAGCTCGACCGGCATAGGCTCCGGTGAATGTGTCCCTGTTTTACTTCCTATGATATCACCAAACAACAAATGTTCGTTATTTCCTCGAAATCGACCACTGTCGATTTCTTCTCCATGTAGTTTTCTTTCTAAATTCGGCTCCGATTTTATTGCAAAATTCTATTACGTTGTAGTAACTTTTAATTTATTGTCATTTGGCAGTGATGTCATTTTGTTCATCGTTCCTTTTCAATTCCTTGAAACTTTTTGCTATTTAAATTTTGAGATTGGTTTAATTCCAAACAAACATGGTGGAAGCAGGGTATTTACATTTTCTACTTTCACTGAAGGCGCTTGAAATTATGTTCTAAAATAAGCTTAATTTTGCAGATCGTGATCGTGACAAGGAGAAAGATAGAGACAGGGAAAGGAGAAGACGCTCTCGCTCTCGTGAACACAAGAAAAGATCCCGCAGCAGAGAAAGAAGCAGAAATAGGAAACGTAGTCGATCTCCACCAGGGTAAGCTCTGACTCAAGGAATTACTGAAAGCCTTGCATGCACTCTTAAAGTCTCTCTTAATTTTGACTTTTGTCTGTACAGGTCACCTAAAAAAGATAAGAGGTCAAGAAGACGAAAGCCGTCTATGTATTGGGATGTTCCTCCTCCAGGATTTGAACACATTACGCCCATGCAGTACAAAGCCATGCAAGGTAATGCTAGTTTCATGATTATTGTATCATACCCAACAAGTTTTAGAATTTACGTGTTTCCTCTATGTAATTAAGTTCTCATTGAAAACTTGGGCTTTTAATTTGCAGCTGCTGGTCAGATTCCTGCCAATTTGGTAACAGAAACTCCTCAGGCAGCAGTTCCTGTTGTTGGGTCCACCATTACCAGACAAGCCCGACGCTTATATGTTGGTAATATACCTTTTGGTGTTACAGAGGTAAGAATGCATCCTTGAAATTCAAGGTCAACTTTTATTTCCTAATGAACTTTTGCCTAGGACCACCCACTAATCCTCACAATTGCCTTTGTCTGCAGGATGAGATGATGGAGTTTTTCAACCAGCAAATGCATCTTTCTGGTCTAGCTCAGGCTGCTGGTAATCCAGTTCTGGCATGTCAGATCAACTTGGATAAAAATTTTGCCTTCCTAGAGGTAAGGAAAATGAGAACTTTGTCTATAATATTTGTGTTTTAAATGATTGTTTAATATTTGTCCTGATTTTTTGCTCAGTTTCGGTCAATTGATGAAACTACCCAAGCCATGGCTTTCGATGGGATCAATTTCAAAGGACAGAGTTTGAAGATTCGACGACCTCACGATTATCAGCCAATGCCGGGCATGTCAGAGAACCCCTCTGTAACAGTACCAGGTATGAGTATGCCCACATTCAATTTTTGTCAGTGCATTTTTAACAGATGTTTAGACATATATTTTGGACCAACATGTAATATAAATAACTTATTCTTCTTTGCAGCTGGGGTGATTAGCACAGTGGTTCCTGACTCACCTCACAAGATTTTCATTGGAGGCCTACCAAACTACTTAAATGAAGATCAGGTAAGTAACATTCTGGTATGTTTGCTTCTAGTATAATCCTCAAGGAAACAGGCACAGTTGTTTTTGGGAAGCACCTAGACTGTGCATTTCATTTTGTACTGGTCCATGGCTTCAGTTTTGAGGTTCTTTTGTGCAGCTTCAGCCCCCTAAAATTTCCTAGGAATACAGAGCAGTGCCTCCATCTGTTCCACTGGGTATCCACAGACTTATTTAAATCCCCTCAAACCATGGAAGAAAGCAAGCATTGAGAGCTTGTGACACTTATTCTGCATGCAATAACTGCGATTCGCCCAACAGTTAATTTGCTTTCATTTGTCTTCTGTGACGGCTCACTTCTCAAATTTCTCGTGCACTTTTACACGTACCGAGTTTGTTCCTCTTCATTTTCCTTCTTGCTACTCTATGCCCATTTCAGGTTCATCTCACACTTCAGGCTTGTTCAATTATTACCCACATTCTAAAATGATATTCATTGAAGCACATTTTTTCAGCGTGGACTATCATTTATAGCGTTTTAAACTTTGCTTTACTCTGTTGGTTAGGAAACAGTGTTAACTTCTATTCAGACTGCTGTTTAATTTTTGAAAGAAGTCCACACATGCTCTTACAATCAAAATGATTTTATTCACAACTTTGTGATTTTTTAGGCTATTGCTGAGATGTTCGTTCAGTTTCTCAAACAGGGTAATGTGCCTCGCAGGTTTAGCATTTGCATCTTTTTTCAAGGGCGATTTGCATTTTGCAGCAGGAAGTTTTGGTCTAGGTTCATCTATGGAGAGTGCGCAGCCAATACTGTTTTCTTTTTCATTTTCAGCAACCATGTGTTTGGTATATGTTTACAAAGTCTGTTTTAACATTTAACTTGAGATTCTATGAATTAATTTTAATACCTAAATTATAACTAATTCCCCAGCTTTTTCCAGTGCTGTGGGTATTATTAGTCTCTTGTTACTGAGCTGTGTTAGTTTCAATTCTAATTTTCTGAATTCAATGCCTAAGTTATATGAAGTATTTTGACATCTTTAATCAGTATCATATTGGGTTAACTTCTACACCAAAATTTTAATCTAAAAATTCCTATCAGTTGATCTTTCTGTTGTCATTGTTCAGAAATTTTTTGTTACCTCAAGGAGAAGTTCAATTTTTCTTTAATACTATGGGAATCCTACATAGTTGTCACTTGCTAGCTGGACAGAGCCTTATGCATGATTTTTGTAGCATTTCCTCAACAGACCTTGTACTCATTAGCCAACACCAGTAGCTACCATTAGTATTTGTAAGAACAGTTTGAAGACGCAAAGAACCAAAACTTATTCGTGCCTCTGCTTTCTTCCCCCGTTCTGTCTTAGCTAAGGTATCGTGGGTAAGAAACGTCAAAAGACAGATTGAACACCTCCCGCCTAAGCTTTCTAAGGCTGGCCATCAAATGTATGTGTGGGTCGGCTGTGTCCGGCCAAATAAAAGGCAAGTTGCAATTTGTGTTTATAAAATTATAACAATTTTGCAGCCCATATTGTGGATATTGATGCATCAGATTGGTACGTAAAGGCTATTATGGAAGGCAACCTCTGGGACAGATTAATTCGACAAGGGGCACAGACGTATTCCTTCTGTCAAAACATTTGGGGCATCTTAAATTTGCTGCACACACTCTAGGACATTAATTTTAAGTTATATTTAGTTTGGCCAAAAACTGTGGTGCTCTTTAGAACTTGCATGGTTTTTCATTTATTACGAAAAGTACTTTACTTCATTTCAATATTTCAGAATTTTAGTTGTCTTTTTATGATTTACCTATTCTGTGATAATTCTTAATGATCTGAGGGCCAGCATGGGCCAGGTAGGTGCTAGTTAATGCAATCCCTCATGCTTAAGTAAATTTCTAACCAGCAATGAAAAATTTGACTTGTTTCAAAGAATAAGAAGCTTTACCTTTATTTCTTTGCATATTAATAGTAAAGGGTAAATTCTGTAAGGTCCTTTCACTAGAAGGTCCCCTAAATATTTTATAGTCTTTAACATATTTTTTCAGTTAATATTTAAAACTTATTAAATACCCCTAACCATTGATAATTATTAAGACCAGTTGATTGGGGTCCGAAACCATTTCTCATGTCAGTCCCTAGAACGCTTCGCGCGTCCCCACGCCTCGCCGGGAGTTTGAAGGTCAAGTTAAAGAAACTTTGCTGTGAGCCTGCTGCACCTTCGACCCTCAGTAGTACCTCGATAGATGGCGCGTGCGCGTTTGACGTAGGCTGCCGACACGGCGACTGGAGGATTGGGGAGAACGGAGCACGGCAGAAGCGAGCGCACTGTAACCACTGTGACGCCTGACTTAAGAGTGCGATTGGAGAGTTCACTTAGAAATTGTTGTCAGGACGTTTCCACCACCTTGTCACAGTATTTTGGTCAGTCTAAACAGTGCAGTCGCACTCCAGCGCCTACTGTTGAGGTTCTACTTTATTTCGTATTTAACTGGAGAATTATTATTTTCGGCACTTTCACTGTACTTTTTTTTAAAGAGTTTGTAAGTCAAGATAGTGAATATTGTCCGAGTGCCTATCGCACCTATTTTATATTTAATTGATAAATAAGTTTCTATGGCACTTCTGATGAGTTGCCATATTTTGCCGGTGGTAAGAAGCAATTTGATGATTAGATGAACTGCAAAAACCAGAAATAGATTTCAAAAGTACTTTTAGAAGCTTAACTTGTTCTAGGCGTGCTGCTCTTGTCAAGCTCCTATTCTTAGCATTAACCTGGTTGTGGAGAGTCTTAAGAATAGCCACCAAGAAACTTCACTCCAATCTACCTTCCTATGCTGAGGTATATAAGATTGTGTGGTGTGTCCCTATGCTTCAGCACAACACTACCAAAACTTAACGTAATTAAAAAAGTTAAGTAGCCTGATGGTTTGTTGTAGTACAATAGCTAATTTTTTTTATACATCATTCAGACTAGGTAAATCGGAGTAAATTTTTTTTGTGGCTAATTTTGAAACTCCTCCACCACATTGACACACAGATAGGGAACTTGTGACGAGCAACTCACTAGCATGTTGTATGTATGTCAACAAGTGGATGGACTGGACACTTTGTTTCCAGCATATGGATTTCATCTTACCATCAAAATGCTTCTTACCATTAACATGTGGCAACTCATCAGAAGAGACAGTGAGAGTGCCACAGATACTTTTCATACTTATTTTCAATTAAATATGAAGTACATGCAGCAGGCATTCAGGTTGTATTTACTTTATTAACTTTCAATTTCCTGCAGGAACAGCACTTGGGGATTGGTTTGAAGTATTGTTTGGGGCGCCAATGAGCTGGTTGTAATATTTTTTTATCATATCTAATTCTTGGTTTTATCATTTTTTAATATTAAATTCAACAAAATATTTCAAAATTATGAAATATTCAGGGCAGACCCTCTAGTGAGAGGACCTACCAGATGTTTCCCATTTTAAAGCACAACAGCACCTCTGAATTCTCCCCGGCTTTTCCTATATTATACTTACAAATTAAGCACACACTGCTTTGGTTTTTTGTTGTTGTTTCTTTTATCAAGAACTTTTCGTCTTTTGATGGAATTTAAATACTTCTTTGGGACATAATATCATTGATCCGTGTGCTGGCCTCAGATGAGCAACTGTCATTTAGTAAAATATAACTTTAATCCCAAAATTATTACAGTGCTCTTTGCAAAGAATCATTTTAATGTTTACTTCAGTCTAGTTTTGTAGGAATCTATGCTTCTGAGGCAAAGTCTTTCAAATTTAGTCCTAAAATCCTGCCACAAGACAAGGCTACTGATATCTTTCACTGTGTCCCATTCGCTATAGAATCTGTAAATCTATGCACATTGTGTTACAAACTAAATAAAACTTTTTTATTCATATTCCTTTTTATAGGTCAAGGAGCTTTTGATGTCATTTGGTCAACTACGAGCATTCAATTTGGTCAAGGACTCAGCTACTGGTCTCAGCAAGGGTTATGCCTTCTGTGAATACTTCGATGTCTCAATGACAGATCAGGTAATATTTGCTGGCTAGATTGTTCAATAGCGTAACACAATACAAATTAATACAAATTCTTGAAAATGTAAAATTTATATTTTTTAGGCAATTGCTGGTTTGCATGGAATGCAACTTGGCGACAAGAAACTTATTGTTCAGCGTGCAAGTGTTGGAGCCAAGAACGCCCAGATTGGTCAACAAGCACCAGTTCAAATCCAAGTACCTGGTCTTACTATGGTTGGTGCTGCTGGACCAGCTACAGAGGTCAGTTCCACCTCAGTCTTTAACTGTTATATTTTACATGACTGCATTAATGCAGATGTGTAGTAAAGTAATTTGTAATAATGTCTATCACTTTCCAACTAAAATTTAATTTAATTTGACAGGTGCTGTGTTTGCTTAACATGGTGACCCCTGATGAGCTTCGGGATGAAGAGGAATATGAAGATATTCTTGATGATATTAGGGAAGAGTGCAGCAAATATGGTGTTGTTCGTTCACTTGAGATTCCAAGGCCTATTGAAGGTGTAGACGTTCCTGGATGTGGCAAAGTAAGTTTTATCTATCTGATCGTTTTTTGCTTCAGCTTCGGTTAGAAATCCTATTTATTGCACATCTAAATAACTAACTCTTGTTTCAGGTTTTTGTTGAATTCAATGGAATTGGTGACTGCCAAAAGGCACAGCAAAGTCTTACAGGGCGCAAGTTCAACAACAGAGTTGTTGTCACATCCTACTTTGACCCAGATAAATACCATCGTCGAGAATTTTAATTCATGCAGGATGAACTGTATTCATATAATGTATTTTAGACTGTGAACGTCATAAAGGTTATTGAAGCACTGTCATAAGAAGTATTGTGCAGAAATCATTAGAATCCATGAATTTGATGGATGACTGTCCATAACAGTAATTGATTTCAGTTATTGTAGATTTGTGATAAGGAGAGAACCTTTTTGTCTTACCTTTTATATAAGTTCAAATGGATTTGTAAAATTGACATGATTTTGAATCAATCTGAGAAAATTTTATTTAGTGGCAGCATAGTACCTCTGCCAAGTTAACCCTTGTCTAACATGGTTCTGTTCTCAGATATCTAGTGAGTTTGTAGAATTTATATGGTCCTCACTTTTGTTTTAGATACCAATAGCACTTAATTTTTGTCCATCAGTGTGTGTGTGATTTACCCTGTGTCCTTTTTAGCATGATAAAGCTCATGATATAAAATGGAACATCTACATTAGAACACTTAATATTGCAGGTGCAGAAAATAAAATTGAATCTTCCAACATACAATGATATGATTGTGTCAATTAATAGAATCATTTTTTTCCTGTGGGCTTTATTTATATAAAAGGTTGCACACTAATCATGCACTTAAATAGAGTGAGAGGTAAGTATTTATACAATGAACTGTTACAACAGGTTGAAAATTTCTGTACAATATTTTGCTGGGACTTTGATAGCTGAGACATTGTAAATAATATTTACTTCCACAATTTTTTGATGGACATATTCTTCTCCGAATCTTTCTGCATAACTTTGGCTACGGCCATTTCAAAATCTTCTTGAGTAACATGAACTCTCCTTTCTCTCAAAGCGTACATTCCCGCTTCAGTACACACACCCTAAAATAAGCCAAGTTAGAAACAGTTTAAGATTATGGGATTTTAAGGCAATTTTTTCCTCAAGATATAGCTACACTCACCTTTACTTCAGCACCAGATGCTCCAGGCATAAGTTCAGCAATCTTACGGAGATTGATGCCTCTTGTGAGGTTCATTTTTCTTGAGTGAATGCGCAAGATGTCAAGACGTGCCTCCTCATTTGGTGGAGGGAACTCAATTTTGCGGTCAATACGCCCAGGTCGCAACAGAGCTTGGTCAAGGATGTCAATTCGATTAGTGGCCATAATAACCTACAATGGTAAACATTTCAAAGAAATTTATAATAAACATATCATTTGCATGCAATGCTAATTAAATCAAGCACAGTGCAAACCTTAATATTTTTGGTAGCCTCAAAACCATCCAACTGGTTTAAAAGTTCAAGCATAGTACGCTGGACTTCTGAGTCTCCACCACTTCCTGACTCAATACGAGATGAACCAATGGAGTCAATTTCATCCATAAAAATAATGGAAGGTGCATGTTCCCTGTTAAGACAGAATCACTCGTAACTCAAAGATTGGAAATTAATGCCAGGCTAATATCAATAAAAGACTAACCTTGCCATTACGAAGAGTTCTCTGACCATTCTAGAACCCTCACCAATAAATTTTTGTACCAGCTCAGAGCCGGACACACGAATAAAGGTACATTCAGTGTGGTGGGCAACTGCACGTGCCAACAGCGTTTTGCCTGAAATTATAAGATTGATGAGCTAAAAATATCATTTGATGGAAAGACTTGTGATTTGCCAAAATGTCATTGTAAGTAACAATACCTGTGCCAGGAGGACCGTACAGAAGAACTCCTTTTGGTTGGGCAATACCAAGGGCATCAAAGAGTTCAGGGTGCTTGACAGGCAATTCAATTACTTCTTTAATCTCTTTGATCTGCTTGTCCAGACCACCAACCATCTCATAAGTGGAGTCCGGAACTTTCTCTACCATCATCAAAGACACAAGAGGATCCACCTGGATAATGATACATGGAGTAAATTAGTTCTACTAATAATCGGAAAAAAATTAATTGCATCCGTGGATGACTTACCTTATTAGGAAGTATTTTGTGGAGAGTATAACTTTCATTTCGCAGGGCAACTCGTGAGTTAGGAGTTACATCATTGATGTCTATGTTCTTGTCCAAATCAACTACAAATTTTCCCTCAGGGTGGACCTTGACCAAAACTTTCTTTTTGTCCATAGGTTTTACAACTTCACCGACATATGAGCCCTGCTCTTGAAGCAGTTGAAGTTCTTCACGGAGCATGCGCACTAGAAGTAACATTTTGATATCAAATTGCAAAAAACAACAACAAGGTTAACGGCCAAGAACAATAAAAAAAAAACTGAATTAACAGCTACCTTTGGCATTAAGTTCATTTCGCTGCGCTTGAAGACGACGCAGATTTTGGCTCTTGTCAGCTACAATAAGCTGCAGCTCCTCTATTTTCGTAACGTAATAAGGACGAAACCCCTCCCCCCGAGAGGGCCGATCATCAACCTCCATCTGTCGAAGAAATAACAAACATATTGTAAGAGAAAAATAAAGCAAAAGTCCTCATAGCTCTTTATTCTTTACTAAAGCAGCAATGAAATGCTGAATGACAAGCTATAAACACAATGGATCGGCTGTTGTCACGGTACAGTGATGGGCATGTAAAAAATGGGCAGATGTCAATAAAAAAACGGGGACAAAACAAGCAAAAACAGTGATAGGGGTAAAGATTCCGCGATTTGAACACAAGTTACGGATTTTGACACAAAAGAGGGGGCACCGGAGTATGATGAGGTTAGGAACTACTAAGATTGTCGGTGACACTCTACTAGAAGTAAATCCGTTATAACGTACTCGAAGATTAAGGAAGGTACAACTATTTAACTCCTTCATCTCAATAATTTCAAAATAGGAGAAGTAACACAAATAACAGAGATATATTACCTCAAAATTAGAGAGTGTCATGACGATGCCTGTTGTCAGTTCTCCTGCCAGTCAGACTGTCACTGCCGTCCACAAATTTCTTTAAAGTGCCTGGCTGCGATAGCGATTGTGGCGCTCGCGGCGCGGCAGCCTCCAACCCTTCAACTGCCGGAAAGTTCAAATTTAACGTCTATTGAATGTTGCTGATTGTTCAGCAGTTGTCATTTTATTCAGTGTAAGAAATTCTATTGGAAGAATAAGTATGCCTCAAGAACTGCATGTGTTGAGATGTTACTCATGCCAGACGTTTCAGGTAAGTTTCAAATGCTGGAGTGAGTTTTGTAACCTCTACTACCTCGTCCTCTGTTAATCCTATATATTTTCGTCCTCAGGTTCAAATAGTTAAGAAAGTTCCGAAATGGCAGTGTAAAGTTTGTAACGAGAAGCAATCTGTTCTAAAGGTCAGTGGTCATTCATCAAATTTTATTGTCATCTGCGCTTTTATACTTGGTTTATCACTTTCTTTATCACAGGTGTATGCCAAAGGAAGTGGCAAAGATTGTCGTCAATATGTTCAGGACTTGAACATGCAACAGGGACTTCTGGCTGCAGAGCATAGCTCTGAAAACACCAATGATCCTCAAGATGGTGGAACTTATCCAGAAGAATATCAAGGTTAGATGCATAGTTGTTAGGGCTCATATGAATGGGCTATGAATGGTTGTTATGTTCCTGTTAATTGTGTATGTCTATGACAAAACTTTGAGACACCCTAAACCTTTACTTCGTTGAACAGAATTTCCCAGGAACAATGACCAGCCTAGCAAATGGTCTGACTACCTGGAAGATAAAAATAACGAGTGTCAGCCTTCTTTCAATGATGACGTTATTGAAAATGATAATTCAGGGCACCATGAAATGTCCTCTTCCTTGAGAGAGTCAACACTTAATCCCAGAGTTAGCAAATGGAAAAATTATCTTGAAGATGAAAATGAAGAAGGAGAAGAAGAAGAAGGTGTTTATGATTCTGACCTCAAACAATATAATCTTGATCTTGGACAGTTCAACCACCCTTCTAGGAGTAAGAAGAGAAAAATTAATCAGTGTGAAGGTAATAATTTAAATAAATAAGAATCTGCCATGCAAACCCGGTGATTCCATGCATCTTTACTGGTGATATTGAATTTATTTTTAGGTTTTACTCAACCTGTTGAAGATTTCCAGCCGACTTCTGCCCTTCTAAATTCTGCACTTCCTGTAAATGATTCTAAAAAGTCAGCAGTCAGAAAATCGTTTGATGTTGAGGAGAATTCCCAGGCAGTAACATTGTTACAGTCCTCTAAAAGTAGGACTTCTAAATGGTCTCAGTTCATTGATAGTGATCAAATGACCAGTAGTCCCCTTATCAACTGCCGTGATACACAACCATTTCCTAATGGAGGAGAAAAAGTAAGTACATCCCTTAAACAAGCTGCAGCTTTGAGTCAAAAGACCAATGAAACCACCAGCATGGCACCTCACCAAATTACAATGCAAAACAAATCAACTTCTGTATCCAAAAGACCCTTCTGTACTTTATCGGATGATGATAATTTAGATGCTCTTCTTGACTTTTAACTCGTTTGCACTTTTAGTCATTCCCAATATTTTTTTTGAAAAAAATCTCTTGTTTATTTATTTATTTTCATCAATTGTATTTCCTATGTATTTGTGAGAATATTAATATTTTTATTTGGCAATAAATGTCTAATTTAAAAATATCTGCCTTATGGACCTTCTCTTGTATGTGTCAGAGGAGGGAGAGTTGGGGAGAGTCTACTACTACTGCTGCTGCTGATCTTTGTTGAGCCCACTTCGCGACTGGTTCGAGACCAACAACCACTGCCCGACAGGTAGGCAACCCATCGTGCTTATCCTTGTTGGGGGGAGCGAGGGGAGAGCAGGCAGGACCGTGTCCGCCTGGATGGTAGGCAACTTATTCGGCAGGTGTTCAGCAGCCCAGTCGGTGGGTCGGTTGTGCGGCGCCGAAATCGTGTTAGGGTCCGTGAAAGGTTGCGCGTGGACAAGAAAACATCTAGAAGAAGGAGGCGTTCGCTGTCTGTCCGCTCAAGCGACAATTTGGCACGCTACAAAGAAGCCGCCGTCCGGCCGAGGGACGAAGGCATAAAACTCGGGTGGAGGTCGGCCCGCCTTTAGGCCCGCCCTCACGCCGCTCCCCCATATTGCTAATTATTTCACACGTCGGCTACACTGAAAAAAATGTAAGGCGAGAGGCGAAAGTGCAACCGAACCGAGCCAGTATGTGCCGTGGCCGTGTGAGCGGGCGAGGGGTGAGTGACCCCTGACCGATGTATGAAACTCCTTGGACTCGGTACGGAAGCGATGTGTATATCAAGAGCGCCGATTGTGTGATGAAACGGATTGCGAAAGTCGGTCGGATTAGCGTAAAGGATCTGCCGGCCTCCGCATGGCTTGAGGCGGCGGTCGGCGTCGGCGAGGGTTACAAAGAGTGATGACATTCGACACCCTTGTGAGCTGCAGGCCGGCCGCCCCCAGCCCATCCGTGTACCGGGTCCAGTCTGCGGAGCCTGCCCTGTCCTGTCCTGCGCCATCTCCTGGAAACGCCTGGAGCCTGTCGGAGGCGAAGGGAGGGGTGGGCTCTGGTGAGCAGCGCCCGCGGCCCCCTCACGCCCAATAAATTAAATGCGCCGAACAAATAAACGGTCCATGGCGCAGCAGCGGGTCGGTATGGAATAATAATGAAAATAATGTATTTCGTATCCCATCAACTCCGGGGTCGGGTTTAACTCAGCGTTAACTCGGCCGCTCATAAACGTCACACCTCCGGGCGCCTCTCCAAACAGATGCACTGGCCGGTGTCGCCCGGGGCCGTGGTGTGGCGCTGTGCTTGGGCCCGGCCGCCAGGCCAGCTAACTAAATAATGCATACCAAATGAGATTCCCTCTGCTCCGCAGCCGCCGCGGCTAAAAGTGTGCTGCTCCAGCCATTACAGCCGTCAAAACCAACACGTTTCCCTGTGTAGACTTGCTCATTTTGTTATTTTTACTCGGACCCCTTCCACTCAACCATACTGTTTTGTGCAACAAGTGAGCTTTTAGCCGCGGTAGTTTTGAACCAGGTGTCGAGGCACCTGTCTCTTGGAGCGTTGCTTTGCCCCGCGGAGGCCACGAGGCCCTTGCTGGTGTTCCTCCCAGGTGCCGACGTGTCGACAGCAAGGCGATGGGCCCCGTGTGCGTCGTGGGGCGCACGCCGTACGGGCGCCCAGGGGCCCGCCAGACAAAAGCGGCCGGCGCTCCCCCCCCGCATCGGGGCACGCATCGGTAAACGATAATGAAATTCAGCATAAATCTGTCAAACTGAATTTCCCGAACGTCGTTTTCACTAACTTTGTTATTCTAATAAGACGGGAGCGAAAATAAAGCGCCTGGTTGAGACGGTGGGCTTTTGTGTGCGCACGGCGGCGGTGGTCGTGGGCAGGGCGGCGCAGGACGGCGCAGAGGGGCCCCCCGGGCGAGGATGTTGCAAAGGGTTACGTGTCGTGGCGTCATACCCGCCCTGGCCGCTCCCGTTCCATTCAAAGAATGGCGAGGCGCGCGGTGGTATTAGGCTGCTGCTGTTGTCCAAGATGCGCATCAGCAGCGGCGGATAATCCCTCTGCTCCGCTGAATCTGTGTGTTGTCGCCCTGCGCGCCTCCCTCCCGAGCTCCTCTCCGCTGGGGCGGCACGCGCAGCCGCGCAGCACGCTCCTCCCACGCGCACCGCGACGCGCGGCGCACTGCCCGCGGGGTGGCTGCGGCGTCGCGGCGGCGGTGGCGCTCCCGGGGCACAACAGCCCGGCTAATCATTGTGTGTGTGGTGGAGCCAGAGCGCGCTGCACCGACCGAACTATACTGGAGCTTGGCTAGACCCCTTCCTGGGCAGGTGATAGAGGGGGTGGTAGGAGGTAGTGGAGGTAGGTGGCTGACTTACGCCGCCGCGGTCTTTTCGTGGTCATACTGTACCGCCATGCACGCGTGCGTGCGGGTTGCCTACTCGCAGGGAGCCGTAAGGAGCCGTCGGCAGCGAGGGTAGGCCATCCCGCTCGCACACGTGCATGCGGTAGTTCAACTTCAACTTCAATGAGGGTTAGGACGTCAGTTCACATGAACTTGAATCACCAGTAACTTCGGTGGGACGTCAGTCCGCGAACCCTACACTGTAACTACGAAAAGTGCGCGGCGCGAGTCAGCCACGTGGTATACATTTATCTCGCGTGGCTCGCCCTTTGCAGGGCTCTTTGCTCTAGTGTGCGGACGACGACGGAGCGCCTCGTCGTCGTCACGGAGGAGAGGCCCTCTCCGTGCTCATCTCCATACGCACCGACCGCGGCCGGCGGGCAGCAGAGACGCTGCGCTGTCGCCCCCTTTTGCCCCCTGGCAACCATACTCCGAGAGAGGGGAATATTTACCGGACCCGTTTGATGCCTCCACGCCACAATAAGGCGAGCCGGATATCGGCCCTTTACCTCTGCTGCTGCTGCTGCTGCGGCCATTGTGTAAGGCGCGGGCGGGCTGAAAGGGGTTCCAGTGGCTCCGGGTAGGAAAACAGACCCAGTTGTCACCACCACGTCCATTGTGTAAGGCGCGGGCGGGCTGAAAGGGGTTCCAGTGGCTCCGGGTAGGAAAACAGACCCAGTTGTCACCACCACGTCCGCTTGCGTGTATTGCCCGTTCGTCGTGGCCCCTTGCTCACTTTTGTGGAGAGGCGGGCCTCCCTTCGTGCTCACTTTTCCGCGGATAATACTACATACAATTGTGCCGTCATTTGCGGTATCTGATGGGCTTTTGCTTCTAGGGGACGAAGTGTTAGTTGGGCGGCGATGTAGGCTGCCTACTCTTGAGGCGTTTCTATCGCGCCCTCTCCTTTGGCGTCGTGCTTATGCCAGTCCAGGACATCTGTTTGTGCACAACACCGTTTCCTTTGGGGCTCACCGGACCGTTTTTAGACAAGCCGACTGTTTGTGCATCCTGGAATGCGGAAACCTCATCTGCCGCTCCGCCCGACACACGGCAGGGCGCGCCACTCATATGTTTTTTAGGGGCAAAAACGGAGACAATAGCTCCCCCCCATCGTCCTAACGGGCCTCGACCTGCGATCTGCCCTTGCCTGATGCCCTTGCCCTTGAGGTGTGTGAACCCGGAAGGGAATCTGAGCCCGACAGAGGGGGCAGGGCCCTCCCGACCCACACAGCTCGGAATCCTACACAATACACCGGGGGCTGCGAGCGTCAGCCGGTGGCAGCCGAGTGCGTTTGTGTGTGTGCGTGTGTGTGAGCTCAGCCGGGGCTGCTGGTCAGGTGCAAAACATAACGGTCTGACCCAATGCACGAATTTCACACAAAAATAGACGTAACGGGACGTCGACGGCTGGGATTGCAGGGCGGGGGCGGAGCGGTGCGGTCGGCACTGGGGCGAGCAGCAGGGTGCGCCCATTCGATTCGCATGTGTGGGTGTGTGGTCCTCCGGGTCCTCCTGAAATGAGTGTGATTGCCACCCAGTCAGGAGTAAAAGTCCTGGATGATGCCTGATCCGAGACTGAAGTAATGTGGAGATGGGAGAAAAAGTTGCCGGTGCCGTATGGATCAATGTGAAGCACCTTGCGCACACATGACACTCATACGACACCCCATGTTTGAAAGTGCATCTTAATTTCTCTCTCACTTCGATCCACGCGACAATCGAAAGTGGTGACCGTGGGTACATGCAGTGGCGTGGGGTAAAGGGGGAAAAGAGGGGGGGGGAGCAATCCTGCCCATATGCCTCCCACGCGACGCGCCCGCTGCCTCTGTTGGGGGGGGGGGGAGTACCGCTGCTGGTGAACCCCTCCTCCACCGCACCCCAGAAAAACATAACAAGTGGGGGTGCAGCGGGAGGATGCACCTTGCGGCTGCCTGGAGGGGCCTGTGCACCGGGTGAGCCTCGATGAGTAGTGGGAGGACCCTCTCCTCGCCGGGGCCCTGGGGTCCCCCGCTCCGGGAGGTAGGGCAGCGGTTTAGTTTGTTCACACGATGAGGACGGACTGCATGGGGTTGTATAATGCATGGGGCCGGGTCTGGACCGCAACATCTGTTCACGATGTGATGCAGATGCAGACATGCAGACCGGGACGACCGGCACCGGGCGGACCGTGATCGTCTTGCTCTTCTCTCGCACGGTCGACGTACGGCGGCGTTCACCGACCTCGGCCGAGGCCTGGACCTTACACTCCTCAGGTGTGCATGCGTCCCCGGGGACCGGACCATATACCAGAGGGCATCGCCCCCCCCCCCTTCCCCCCACCCTCAATGCCAAGAGAGACACCTGATAATTGATGCCACCACAACTCAGGTGTGCATGCGTCCCCGGGGACCGGACCATATACCAGAGGGCATCGCCCCCCCCCTTCCCCCCACCCTCAATGCCAAGAGAGACACCTGATAATTGATGCCACCACAACAAACCCTTGCTGTGCTGCATGTGCACACGCTCTGCACTTTGGCTGCACACTGGCTCTGCTTTCTCACGCCGATGTGGCAAAGGACCATATACAATAAAAAGCGAGCGTGTGTGTGAGAGTGTGTGTGTCCCTCCCATCTTATCCCATCCGCCCACGACGACGAAGAAGACGACCCAACAACTCCGGTAGCAGATGGGCCGGTCGGGTCCACCGCGGCCGTAGCGGTACACGCCCTACGCCCCCCTCCCCCTCCTTCCCCCTTTTCTCTCCGACGGACCGAACGGCCGCCTATTCAGCGACGCCCTGACAGATGACGGCGGCGGCGGCGGCGCCCCCGCAGCAGCCCCTCCGGCCGCACAAATTTTCTGAATTTCCAGAGAAAGGGTGAGCAAAGGGG